ATTTTACATTGTTTTCAATGGGGCTTCAATTAGCTCAGTGCACCCTTAGGTCACGTGACATAATTGTGCCGACGGGTGCACCACTACAAGTAAATTCCCATCGACAGCTGTGATAAATCCCCATACTTCACAAATATTTTTAAAATACAACTCTCACAGGTGTTCAGGCTGCACAGAAAAAGGATGTTCCACATGTCCCCTTTCATTTTCCTTTCAATTTTCGGGGGGGGGTTGACTGATGAATTTTTGAGAAATTCTCACCAGAAGCAGACCACCTCTAAAATGAAGAAAATGTCCCTGTCCAGAAAAGTAGCCATTTTGAAAAACCATTCCTCTGCAAAATGCCTCAAATAGTGCCACTTTCGGACCCGATTGCATCCAAGTTACTCAGAATTGGAAGCCCTGAGTCCGGCTCAGAGGTTCAGTCTCACATTTCTTCAATTATTCGGTTCCATGGCTCTCAGGACCCTCTAATATAGAATATTTTGAGTCTATAACTTTTATTAGTGAGCTCGGCGGACAGATTTCTAGCCTAAACACAAGGGTGCACCCTGACAAGTGTTAGTCGGGTAGCCAAAAGTAATGTTGTTTACTCCGTCAACAAGTCAAGGATGTGTTCAGGGGAAATGAACGTGCATAGTAGCTGTTCGTAATCCTGTGTAGTGCCATCTTCAGCCGAAATGGCCGCTGAACAATCAGTAGAATTGTTCGTCAGGATAGCTGGTGTGTCAGGGTTTCTAGCTGTGGCTCTCGGTGCCTATGGTTCTCATGGTAAACCTGATAATGTTGATCAAAATGCACTTTATTTACAATGAATTGTGACACAAAGCCCGAGGCCCTAACACGCCTAATTCATGTAAGCCATAATTATAATCATAATAATAATGATTTCGGTTAGCTCATGTGAGTGGCGCGTTAGTATTCCTCTTTTTTCGATTTCAGACGGGATCGGTCATTACTAAAACTATCCCATACTAAATCGAAAAAGAAGAATAATAACGCTTCACTGGCTATTGGGGGAATAAAAAAGAAATGAGTTTAGCCGAGCATCTCTAGGTGTGCAGGGAGGAAGTTTTTTTCTGTTTTTTATGTTACTTTCATCATTCCATATACTTGACATACGTGTGACTTAGCCCCACTAGTGTGGCACGGACTCTCACTCCCGATCCATCCTTAGCCACACATCCGTATGCGCAATTTCGTGTCGGCGTACTGAACATTTTTGGCGCACCCACTTATCATCGTGGGCGCAATTTCTTTTGCACGCGAACATGACCTTTCCGTTTTCTAAATTCCATTTACTGAATGATTTCACTCACGTTATTCCGGTATTTTCCAGTCTTTTTCCTTTATCCATTCAATCTAATGGGCTCGCTCTCTCAGTCGCCATCTTTAAAATAAGATTGTTGAACAATATGTCACTTGACCACTCATCATCTCGACGGCTATTCCATGTCAAGACATGTAATAAACGGACTGAGCGATAAGATACTACATGTACCAATGGACTCTTCCAAAACTTTGGCAGCAGTTTAGATGTGCATTGCACCCAATTCACATGTGTATACCGACCATATTGTACGATTTTGAGCCCTGTGCAAAAAGTCACGTATGCTTTCAAAAACTATGGTGGACTGTTGGGGACATTTGAAAATGGCAGATTTTTGAAGGAAAATGTAAAAAAAAAAAAAAAATCACACGGCACAAATTTTTGAGGTGGGCTCTGATGCTAAACAGAAAAATTTTTATGTAGCCTTAAAAAATAAATTGTATCCTAGTTCTGCATCATAGTTCGTTAGTGCTCTTAAACTACATTTGCAAGTTTGCTTATTGACATATTGATCTTTCCATAGTGATAGCAGGTGGATGTGATTTAAGTTGGTACATGTAGCAGCATGGACAGAGATAGTAGTTACCTAACCAGCTCACCCTAGTCATTATGTTTGTACAGTTTTGAAGTTACAAACTTGATTTTCCCCTCATGTGATTTGCAGCCTAAGCACCTGTCACAAATTAATTTATTATGTGTCCTTAAACTGTCTCAAAGCAAAAATAGCACTAGGTGGAAAGGCTTGCGGTAGCACCATGTGAAGGAATCTCTTATGAGTATGTGTGGTTCTGAAACGAACCAGGAGTATACTCAACGTTTCGGACTGGGTGCTCAGTCCGTCGTCAGGGGACTGAAGAGATGCTGAAGAACCATACATATTCATAAAAGATATATTCCTTCACATGGTGCTACCGCAAGCCTTTCCACCTATTGCTGTCTTTCACCATGATTAGCCTGAAATTCCATCAAAAATACCACATTTATTTCTGTCCAAAGAATCTTGTAATTCCTCCTTATTTTCATAATATTTCAGGTCTGAAGAAGAAAGTTGATGACAAGACGTATGAGGTATTTAAATGACGTGAAAAATTCACATTACACATAGTATTTCCTTTTGTTTTGATACTGGATGTATTTGTTAATTAAAAACAGGCAAACAATAATGGTTTTGGCTACATTCAGGTGACAATTATTGACGCAATCTGAATTGAAAGTATGAAATTTTTTTGCAGTTTTCAACAAAATGTTTGATTGAAAGATTAAAATGTATTCTTTGCCTCGGGTCAAATTTTGACTTTTTTGTGCTACATGTTTTTGTAGGTTTTTCAGACAGCCAACAGATATCATTTCATACACACCCTTGCTCTTCTGGCTACACCTCTGACAAAACACCCAACAATTGTAAGTATGCATCTCACGAAAACTTCTATTATACATGTAAGTGTATTATTATAACATCTTAGTTTCATAAAAAATTACATTTAAGTGATGACCATGACAAGATACATTTTCTTGGCCATTTTGGAATTTCTACAGGTTGGTTCTCTCTTAGTTCTCGGAATGCTTGGATTTTGTGGCACTTGTTACATCTCTACATTGTCTGGATCAACCACTCTCTACAAGTTGACACCATATGGCGGCATGACTCTCATGGCTGGCTGGATAGCTATGGCTTTCTAATTTCCGCTGAACAGCTTTGACCACTAAATAACATGGAATGATGCTATATGGATGATAGTTTCTGTGAGGGGATTTGATTTGTTTGTGATATTTCCTTTGGTCTTCATCAAAAGGACATTCAGATTAGCTTTAAAGGAACATGGAAATAGAAGTGTTTTTATAAATTTTACTAAAAACCCTTGAAATTGCATCTTTGAGTTTTAATTACCCTGATTTTAAATGTTTGTTTTGCAATTTTAACCCATATTTTGATGCTATTTGGTTTTTAAGCTAATGCTATTTACATATTCATGAGCAGAACTATGATGTCATCCAAGGCACTGAATCTCTATGTTGCACTGATTTGAGCACAGAAAATTTCTAGATTTTTTAACCACTGTTACAGCAGATTTTATTTTCTTTGGCAATTTATTGCTGTGTAAGTATATGGCAATAATCCAGCAAAAATCCAGCCTGAACCATGTCTCCCTTGATTTACATCACAGCAAAAGCGCCCTCACCTGTCCAGAAAAAATTGGTCAATTTTTAATGTTTCAAAAAGTGCACCGTTCAGTTCACATAACTAACAGAAGATGTCAAACAGTCTTCATACATGGAAGAAGAGTACAGAGATACACAAAAAGTGATTCTAAGAAAAATACATTTCCTGCTTCCATTAAAGTAAACAAATTTTTTTTTCATTGAGCCACAGAACCATATTGTAATTGTGAGTGCATGCAACCTATCACGGTGGACAACATTGGTGCCAGGAAAATGTTAGTGACTAGAATTTCTCATGTTGAACGGCTGCAGAAGATTAGCTCTTCCCATTGCAGAAGTGCACAGTCAACTTGATTCTCTTGAGAGTATGTCCTTTTCTTTAAAATTTAATTTAAAATACTTTGTACATTGAAGTTAAGCATTTCAAGTTAAGCTTTTATGTCAGAATGTTTGCTACTGAATTACTGTTTTAATTTAATAATTCTCAAAGAGTTTCTAAAGAAGTTTTTCGAAGAAAATACAACAAAATTTGGGCTCTGTGATTGAGTGTAGCAATTTGAAATAAAACTATGCATCAGTGCTAGGTTTTCTTGTGAGCAGTTTCATCAGGTTCCAACGTTTGTTGGTCTGTGGCTGGTTATTTATTTTTTATTTTAGCAGCGTACCTGTCTTTAAATGTTATCTTCATTAAAACAGAACATACAACAGACACTCCAATTATGCAATCCCTCCCCCAGAACCTGTCCTGGCCGGACAAGTATAATTGTTTGTTACTTAACAACATTTGTTCCCCCCCCCCGAATAGAGTCGTCATCACAGGCATTATTTGGGTGTAGTCCACTAATTCAGGCCCCATTGAAAACAGTGTAAAATCAGCATTGTTCGGAGCCCAATAATATGTGTACCAACATCCCTGAGGCATCTGAAACACACGTTAAATTATTGTATGGTCCATAATCTTTCACTTTCTTTAAACTTTCTGTGGGTTAAAGGATTAAATTTTGAGTTATTCCCTCAAAACAAAATTACCCCCACCCCCGTGATTTTTCCAAAGTCTGGTTGCAGCCATTTTCAAGTGACAACCCTCACTTAAGACCATTTTCAACAGTATTTTTTAGCCGTTCTGCCCAAAGACCAAGGGATTTGATTCTGGCGAAGATTTACACAATCTCACCATTTTGGGGGCCATACAAGCTCCTTTTTCAAAAGATACTGCGGGGGCACTTTTAATGCTAATGAGCTGGCCAGAAATTCTCGCTTGAATTATATTAGTGGACTGCACCATCAACGGCGTGTAGTGATACCGCCCTCAACGTTACGTTGTCGTACAGCGTTTGTAGCTGACTTGCACGGTATTACGTTTTGTGGCATTTAAAGGAGGAATTTTGGATAAATTCGGACCTTCCCAGTGTTAGTGAATGTTGTCAGTACTCAACTATATGCAGTAGTAAAGTATGAAGTAAGTGGAGTAGTGGAAACGATCACTGCGTTGCGTCGTCTTTGTTGGGCGCCCAACTACCGTAGGCCCTTGACTGTAAATGGCCGACATGATCGGTGTACTCCTTACGTACATGTACATGTACTACTTTTTTACTAGTCTGTTCGACTACAACTGAGTACAAGACATTTTAGATATTCCCTCGACTTTCCTCATGCCTTGGTAAATTCTGATAAATGCATGTAGTTGTTACTTCACTCACACACAAAACTACAACTTTACAACTTGCAAGTACATGAAGTAAGAAAATTATTTTATTTTTGGGTGCAGTTTAAAAGAGTTCATGAGGCTAGGCCTAGGCCTATGTGCAATTCGAAAAATTGGGAAATCAGATTAAAAATGGAATTTCATTGAAACTTTGTAGCTGGTATAGAACCCAATAAGTTTATACTTTTATGAAGTGGAATATTGAGAGCTCAATAATATTTCTTTTCTTTCCTAGAATATTCGTCTGGGGTTTTCCTCCCATCTCTAAAACTGCAAATACTTCTCACTGTCTCCTCTTTGCAGGCTTCAGTAGATTTCTGTGGGCTAGTGCGTTGTGTGCTTTTAGGGAATCAGTGGTTTCATTACCAGCAGTACTTAAAATAACAATTGATAATAAAAGCATTTTTAAGGGAATATAAATCTGACCTTTTTGAATATTGTTTTGTGAGCAACTGTTTGTAAGACAGATACTTAACAGGTAAATTCAGCAGGTCAGTGACTTAAGGATTTTTTCCAGAAAAATGTACTGGTAAAGGAAAGAGAAATTTCATTGCCTTTTATGTTAATTTTTGTATTTTTAATACTAGTCCCCTTACGAATGTGAAGAACATCAACAAACTTAACGAGATTGAAGCTGAGTTGGGTGTCTCCGGGAGTAAAACATCCTGGCATGAACAGTACAGAGACAGTGCTTATATCTTCATCGGGGGGATGCCCTATGACCTGACAGAAGGGGACGTCATCTGTATGTTTTCTCAGTAAGTGTAAACCCAAATTTCACAAACACAAATTATCCTGTGTTTTTTAATATACTGATTGTCAGGAGCCCTTACGTAAGCTGATCTGGAGCTTTCTTGCGCTAGTTGAGCCATCTTTCAAGTTTGAACTGCCTTCTTATGTGATCATTTCAGGAGACAGTTGAAATCATTTCCACAAAATACATATCATCTCCGGTCATCTTTCAAACCATGTACTTTTTATTCTGATACTTACAGGTATGGAGAGATAATGAACATTAACTTAGTCCGAGACAAGAAGACAGGCAAGTCAAAAGGTTACTGCTTTTTGGCATATGAAGACCAGCGAAGCACCATTCTAGCTGTTGATAACTTCAATGGTATCAAGGTATGTCATTCTAATATTAAACAAGGGATTTGTATTGTCTGTTTTACCCTAATATCTGGAGAGTGCTGTTGTAAGTGGACGATTTCCTAGTTTTGACAGGATTTTATCTCGTTCTGTTTTGTGGTAATTAGCTTCTAGGTCGTGTTTTACGAGTGGACCATGTGAGCAATTACCGCAAACCTAAAGAAGATGAAAACGATGATGAAATCACTCAGCAGCTGAGACAGGAAGGATGTGCCCCTAGAACTCCTCCATCAGAAGATGATGAAGAGCGAGAGTATCTGGTCCCTAAAAAGAAAAATAAGAAAGGTACATGTACCATTAACCACTTGCTGCCGGGAGCAGTTATCAATGTTGATGATGCTGGTCTGGAATAATTATTATTTTTTTCCAGTTTTCAAAATTCTTTAAAAATTCCAATCTTCATTTACTGGACACTTGCAAACACGTGAAGGACTGTCTGGTGCCACTCTAGCCTGACAGACAACATCTTTTGACGCTGGAGTATTTCAACCAGGCCTGCCGCCTTGTAAAAAGAGCCCAGATTTTGTGGTGCTACGTAATATTCTTTTGTTCACGAACCTGGCTCAGTGCGCTGCTGACCTCTTTTCAATAGGGGCCAGATTAGCATGCAGCAGTGCTGTGTGGCTCATCGCTGTGGCGGTGGAGCGTTTTTCCCCGGTGGTAATCCGCTCACTCTAAATGCCCCAAACCAAGGTACATGTATACTGTTTCAAAACAAGGCTGGATTATCTCCACTTTTGAGAGTGAAAATATGTTGGTAATGCCAGGCAGCCTGGTCTTTTGTTCCGAGTATGGTCTTTTGTTACAAGCCCCTGTTCCCTTTGTCCAAGTTCAGAGACCCCGGATCCGTGTCCGTATTTAGAATCCCAGACAGGAAGTGGTTAACTATACTGTGAATGCCGTTTAATTCTTACTGTTTTTCTGCAAAGTAACAGCCTAATTTTGTGTTTCTCTGTGAACATTCGTTCCTCTTGCTCCACAGAACACAAAACCAAACCCAAGTTACAGGACAAAAAGAAGAAAAAGAAGAAAAAGCACAAGAAGGATGAAAAATATTCGTCCAAGTCACGTACAGATTCTTCTGATTCAGAGTCGAGTTACTCGGAGAAAGATAATTCACCAAGGAGGGTGGTGAGAGTGAAAGAAGAAGTAGACCGTGGGTATCCACACTCAAGTGAGCTGAAGATCATTACAGAGCAAGGTTGGAATGATGGTCATAAAAGACATCAGCAGGAAGTTTCCCATTGGCAAAAAGAGAAAGGGTGTTCTAGAGGTGAAGGCAGAAAATGGCAGAGAGAAGAAAGAGTCGCAAACAGAGATGAGGACTACTACAGACATGGGGAGAGATATAGATTAGATACCAGTCGGCATGAAAGTAACAGTGAAGAAAGAAGGGATGGCAAAGACAAATGGCATGACAGAGGATCACACAATAGGGAGGACAGACACCCAGACAAGTGGAGTGATAGAGAAGATGCCAAAAGTAAGGAGAGGGATAAAACCCAGGAAAGGAGAAGGGAAAAGGGGAATAGTCATCAGAGGAATAAGAAATACGAAAGAGAAGATGAAAGGTTAGACACTGCCAGAAGCGAGAGCAATTATGAAAGAAGAAAACGTGATCAGTCAAACGAGAAAGACGCACGTCGAGGAAGAGGCTCTTATTATGAGAGAGATAGGCATTATGAGAGCGATTAATATCATGAGATATCACAAGACAGACTCATATCATGAAAAAGAAGATAAGATTGGGCACAGAATTGAGATATCTAGCTGTGACAGACTTCATGTATTTTGTTAAGCTGACAAAAGGAAAAGGTCAAGGAAAGAAAAAGATGTGTAAAGCTTGCAGTAAACCATTGTGCTTGACTGGTGCCCATGCTATCGCATAACCTTGGAGCTAGCCCTCAAGGACATATGAAAATCATTTGAAGAAATTGCAGAACCCATGTATTGAATGAATCAAAAATCACTAAAATTAGTTCCCAATTTATGAACTTGTTTATAACATTGAGTAAAAGTAATATTGTTTTCTTTTCAGATTATTTGCCTGTCATTTGTGAATATTTTGAATGTGTCGTTTGCTTTTCTAAAAAAAATCCACCCTGAAAGGAAATGCTCCCTCACTGGCAAAGGAGAAACAGGCTGGGCTGGCCGAATGTTTTTCATCTGGACCATGAAGGTCATACCTTCAACATGAATTGAGTTGCTGGTACTGTGCCTCACACCATATGCGTGTAAAACCTGTGTACTCGAACATTGAGATTACAACAAAAGACTTTCATTTTCCCCTGCTCGGAGTTGTGTTTGTGTTCCTTCCTCCATGATGTGCATGAAATATTTAGCTTCGTTAGGGTCAGAAAGAACTATTAACAAAATCAAATACAGATTGCGGCTTCAAACAGGTTGTGGACAGGGACGATGAATGGAATTTGTTTTTTTAATAACTTAGCCTAATGCATTGATTAAATTAATTAAAAGAATCATTTGTTAAATTGCATAATGTACTTTTTATACACAGGCAGAGGTTCAAATAGTAATTGTCAAAGTATCAAGGCAAATACCAACTGTAGGATCCTGGTCGGGAGGTGGGGGTGAGTCAAAATGCGGCTCGAGTGAAGACTACATGTACCGAGTTTGCCGTTGTAATGACGTCACCACGGCCTGATGACGATGTCGCAATCCGGCTGGACTGGCTCCTAGACGCCTAAAGAATGTTGCACGCGTACATGTACGTAAACATGGCTATTCATGAAGATTCGTCAGGAGGGCTCGGGATGGCTCATTTCCGATTGTGGTGAAGTCTTTTCCATCGCCTTGTTTCCAGTGTCTGAGAGGGTGGTCAAACTGGTGAAAATAATCCACAGAATCTTTCAATATGCGTCTCTACAAGGACAGAAATTTTGGTGAGTTGGTCTTATCTGTAACGAGGTGCCCCTTTACACTTATGATTACTGTGAATGGGGCTTCAAGCTTGAAAAAATAGGGTTGTTTTATGACGGCATTTTGTCACTTTCAAGCATGTTTATCCTAAATACGCTAATGTAATGTAGGGGATGTCGGTGGATAAAACTTTAACCAAAGCCGTCTCTATATATCTGGTCAGGGCCCAGTATCGACGGACATGACGAAGAGGTGTAAATAGACCACTGTTTAGTGATCTGGATAGGCGCGATAGCATGCCATGCGGGATCATGTGGATAGGGACTGTCTGTCATGTCTGTGTGCAAAAATGTAATGATGGTTGACGTGCCTTCTCTAGTGCTAGCTCTCGGGCATGTCGGGAAGAATTGCATACATACGGGCGACACTTGATGCCCCTGTGCACAAACTCATGAGACATGTAAAAAAAGCTCAAACTTTAGGCCTAGATCCAAGTGGTTTCTAAGTTCATGCTTCAGAATCTTATTTTTCATAAGGCCTAGTTGGTTTACATACTGCACATCGATAAAGAGTACGTGTACGTCAAATTACAAAGGGAACCAACACTGAAAGTAGACTAGCTCCCAGTCTGTCTTGCATCACGCCATTTGTACGTGGGTGCATTATGAAAACCCAATTTACTTTGCAGCCATTTTTCAACCATTCCTGATGAGGAAAAAAGTGATTTTTCTGAAATACTAACCTAAGGGTAAATAAGTGTTGTCCATATATGGAACTCGTTCCTGCCTCTTTCTGCCTACTGTGTTCAGTATTATTTACATGGCTAAAAATATGAGTTGTGAAAAGTCAGGCTTGGGCTCCAACCTGTTGTAACTTTGTATACAGCCTAGGCTAGGTTAAACACGACAAGTCTAATATTCATGTAATGTCACTTGGTTATTTAGCGTGCACACGTCATAGTACAAGATTCTAGAGTTGGTGCAGTGCACAACATGACACAGCTGTGTATTTTGTACAGCTTACCGACTTTCCCAAAGAGTGACTTCAGCATAGGAGAGTTAACTTCAGTTGTAAATACACGTGAGATATGGTACCCTGACTTCTCACCACTCACACTAAGCAGTTGGATATAAAAATGACTAGGAGGAGGAAGATGATTGAGTGATTTGGCTTACTTCAGTATTATTCATGTTTACAGAAAATGCAGAACTATTCACTGATGTCTACAAGGTCGAACTGATAGATGATGTCATTTATGAAGTTGAAGGAGAGGTTTGTGTAATTCTTAATGTGTAGATAAACTGCAGCTGTGGCAGAATATTTTTTTGGCAAAAGAAAATGATGAATTGTTGAAGATAAAATTACGTACACCTCTTTAATCATTCAGTCAAGATTATTGTAGAAATTATGATAAATTTAGTACTTTGGTGAAATTAGTTATTCAAATAAATTTTTTGAATGCCGACTGCATTGCCAAAGTACCTATATGTCAAGGTAGGCATATTGCCTCCTTTCCTCAGTTCTGGTTTCTTCAACATGTTGTAACAGACTTACGAATGAAGTAGATGGTTGACAGGTCCAAAACCACACTTGCTTTACAACAAGGGTTGTCCCTTGCAGTGTTCCAAAAGGAAAACATTCTAAAAACTTTTTGGTTGGGGTATGATTGACTGACACAATGTGGAGGACACCAGCAGGTACACAGTTATTGTGTTATTACATTGTAATAGAGAAATTTGCTTTTACTGCGTTTGGTTTTTTCTTCCTGCCACAGACAGTCACTGAAAGATTTGACAGCACTCAAGTGAACACAGGTGCAAATGCTTCTGCAGAGGAACCTGATGAAGCCGGGGATGTCCAGTCAACAACGGGTCCCAACTTTGTGTCTGCCTGCCAACTGAAACTGCTGGAGTCCAAATTTACCAAGAAAGAGTTCTTGGTATACCTGAAGGCTTACCTAAAGACGTGTGTACAAGATTGCTACGCTTCACCACAAGTTTGGCTTTATAAACTAATTTGTGTACCTGCAAATTTTGCTCTCTAGAAAAAATTGTTGAAATGCTGTCTTATTGGCTTGGATTCTCACAATGGGTGGGCATTTTTTTAGTGCCAAAAGATGGATTTCTTCTGTGTTCTAGGCATATTTCTACTTTTCACAATCTTATTCTTGCTTTCGTTGACTCATAAAAGCTAGGTATTTTTCTACTAACATCTTTTATTGGTAATCAAAGCATGTTGTGGAAACACCAGCACTTTATTCTTTTGATTGGACTAAAAATTGCCTGAATGTGCTTATTTTATTCATTACCTTGTCCTGAGCACTTCTTAGCTTGAAGGGTAATGCCTTTCATTATCAGCAGTGGAAATCAAACATGCTAAAATTGGTTTTCCTATGTCTAATATGCTCTTTGAGCAGCTAGAGTTTGTAAGAGGTATAAATATTGAGCTGTCAAGAACAGAAGATATTGCTGCCTATCATCCCCAGTTAAACCCTAACCTTCCTCAATCCTCCAACAGGTGAAGGATTGAGGAGGGTTAGGGTTAATGAACTGGGGACATTCCATACTTGAAAGCTAGTGCTTATGTGAATTGCAATATTACAGAAACTTTTGGGAGTTTTCTTCCAACCTTTCCACATGCCAGAGACACTGTGATAGTTCTTTTCCTCTCAAAGTTGGTCTTTTTCTCTCACAGTTTGGTGTTCCCAGAGGACAGGAAGGCAGAACTACAGAAAAAGATAGAAAACTACATGAAGACCAAGGTCCTCCCAAATTTTAAGAATTTTGACCAGTACGTTGGGAAGGATCTGATCGTTGATTTGGAAGACACGCCGTACCCAATGATCTGTCTGTTGAATTACCGAGAAGATACTGATAAGCCCTACATGGTTGTGTTCAAGCATGGACTGACTGAAGAAAATTTGTGATGCCATCCTGGGAGTGGTCCCCAAGTACTGCTTCAGACAAGAAAAGAATGTAAGTGTACAAAGTCTTAATAACACTTTGCTCTGTGTACCTCTGTTGCGTTGATGAGACATCATACTGCTGCTGTGTACTGCCCTTGGATGGTTATGATAAAGCCTTGAGAGAGCTGCTTACATGCAAACTGCAAGCTGGAGTTTTCGTTGTTACATAAAAAGCTCATGGTGTTTCAAAGACTAGACCAGATTTAGAGAAAAAGTGGTAATGATATCCAATTTTGTTTTACATGTCTATGATTTTTTGCACCCAATGCCTTTGGTGATGATATCTGAAACAAGCTTAACATTTCTTCACTGTTTTCATGAAGAGACAAATTGGCCCCAAATCACCATTTTTTTTCAAATTTCAGTGTTTTTTCATAATCAACTGGGCTATGTAATGCCTACTACTTAACCCTAACAGTCCCAAATCCTCCGATTTCAGTGTGATTTTACATACCCTAGGGGGTTATGGTTAGTCATTTTTTTACCAAATCTACTGAAATCAGCCAAATGATGGTGATCTCCTTCGGGCAGAATTCAACTAAACTGCATTTTACATTTTCACAAAGAAACATCTTCCATAGATAAAATGTTAGCAATAAAGGGCAAATTCATGGGTAAAACTTGTTTTTAAGAGACAAATTGGACTCTGAAAATGTACATGTATACAAATACACTTATAGCAATTTTGCACCTAGCAGGTGCAATGGCAAAAGGGTGTACTGCTTGTGAACTTTTCATGAAGAGGCAAAAGTCACGCAAAGTTTAGCATATTTAAGATAAAAGTGTTTGTTTACAAAATACACAGATCAACTTAAAATGCAATTTTCTGAAAACCTCGTTTTTACTCTCCAATAAGACTTTTGTCTGGTGAAAACAGTGACGATAATGTTCCATTTTCATTGACCTGTAAAAGAGAATGCTGTATGGAAACAGTGAGTTGCCAACCTGCATTCTGTCTGTCATGCTGTAGTTGTCACTGCTTGACAATGAATGTGGTACAGTACTCTGAAAGCAAAGCCTTAAAAAAGGTTCTCATTTTTGCTTTCTGGGGGACATAAAATTTCCTGTCTTGTCCTTTTCCTGTCTACTTAGTTACAGTTTGACACCTTGTGTTAAGACCACATGTACAAAATGTCAATATCAAAGACATACATTTTCAGTTCGTTCACCAGATTACATCTCTCATGCAGAACATGTTTTGTTTCCCTTTTTCAGTCCTATTAGTTAAAGAGCTGCAGCATCTACGAAGGATAAGTTGACATCGAGGGGCCTAGGATTGGAGATGAGAATATGCAACACATAGTATTGTTATTACATCCTGTGTTGAACATAAACACAACATGATATAAGTTGATGTAGACGACACCCCTCAAATTAGTTAACACTTTGTATTCTAACATTAACCTCAAGACTACTAATTTGATCATCCTCTTCCAAGTACAAAAGGTTATTTGCACAAAGTCATATTTATAAACCTAGTTGATAACATTGGATTACTCAAGGGAAGTTAAATGATTTCCTGAACTAAAATGAAAGTCCCTAAATTCAGTGTTGACTGATCCTCCATTGTTGAACTTTTTTTTCTGTGCAAGTGAAAAATTTTGTAAGTGGTTATTATCTATCTGGGAGGAAGACTGGAAAGAAGCCAACTCGTTCATGCTGAAGCTCTCTAATGAGATTAATCTGGATTTTTTGCCCAGTAAAAATGTTAATCATGCTTTGCCTATGCAGTCTTCAAAACTGTCTGCACATTTTTACCATGTTACAGGTCTCACTAATGTAGTGTGATATGTTTGAATTAAAGCTTTTGTTGTATAAAAATCAAGTTCATGAACAAGACATTAGCTTTATAAATGGCAGTATAGGCTACCACTCTGTCTGCTTGCTGTAGAGTAAGATCTGTTGCAATAAACTCCAAACGTTGGCTTTGATTTCAATGTTTTAGAGTACAGAAATGAATACGTCGTGTACACAGTTGCGTAAAAGACGGGGAGAACTAGTGTGTGAACCAACATACACGTGTACTCCTTTCGTTTGTACTGCCCTCTCTGGTTTTAAACGATGTTACACTTTGGTACTCTATAATGCATTGCAGTGAACAGCAGTAGCCATTTACTTTGACATTTTAATTTCAATTTGGACCTTATTTCCTCAATGTCGTTCAGAGTTCACAACTAAACGCTTGCTTGACTCGTAGCAGTTACAGTTGTTTCCCAGAAATTGCAGGCAGTACACCTGTACTTCTAATGTGCCATTAAGTGCTGTAAAGGAGCATTACTATTTCATATCATGGCAAAAGTGACAAATTAAGAGCTGTACAAACTCTTACGCTCTGAAGAACTTTCGAGCAGGCTACCGATAGTTCCACAATTTTTGAAATGTATTTGCAGATGTCATTATTTTAAACTTCTGGCAATATTTACATTGACTTGTACTTGAATACATTTGAAGATGCACTATAATGCTTACAGGAATACAAATTACTGCTTGTATTTATTATGTAGAAAGGGTTTTTAACAAATCAAAAATGTATCAATATTTTGTTACAAACCCCAGATTACTGGTGGTTGTTACAAAACACACAACTTGGTTATTCGAAACCTCCTTGTAGGACTCCGTGAAATAAAATGTTTATTTGGATTGAAGTATTGTATGTAAAAAAATTTCTGACTTTTGTTATTTTGTCAAATCAGACTAGGGGGTGAGTACACGTGTTAGGGTATTAGGGTATTTGATTGGCCTTTCTGAACTTCTTGATATCTCAACTTGTAAAGATGAATCGCTCTCTTCACAAAGTTACCTTTGTTGACCAAAAAAAGCTGTAGACCTACATGTAGTTGAATGTGAAGCTCACGGAGTTTGGATTTTGCAGTGTTTCATCTGAACTACGATCTGCCTGCCCCTAGGAAAGATTTGTAGATACTCAGTTATCAAGACCATTACTTGACTCGAACTTAAGTCACGATTTTCAGTGAATTGAGTCCCAACAGGTGAATGAGTGAAGTCTTCACCAGAAGACTAAACTTCAGTGAATTAAGGCAATTTTTCATTGGAAAATTTTTGCAACGAGTTGTGCCGGTTTTAAAATGTTCACATCATACCGGGTCCTACGAGCGCATTCTCTATGTACAGAGCCATCTGTAGTCCTTCAATGGTACAACCAGTGCTCCTAGCTCCGTGGTACAGCAAAAATCAAGTCATGGACTTCCTATAGCATGAAATACTAATGCAGAACCAGACTTACAAAGCTTTTGGTGGGCCCCAGTCTGCTCTTATCGCGTTTATTTCACATGTACCCGCATGCCCTGATTTCAAAATACAATAATAGTAATAATAAGTTAGTATTTATATAGCGCCCGTCCATGATAAAATCGTGCTCCAGGGCGCTTTCCAAAAGTTAAGACACTGGTTAAAACTACGATACAATTACACTAAAAACAATAAAAAATAGTAAAACAAATTATTGTAAACAATAAAAACTAGCAATTAAAAAGTTTTAAAATGATCCAAAAATCTGTAAAATATACCTACCTCAAAAAGGGAATTTGGACAATTAGATTAAAAAACGCTTGCTTAAAAAGATGAGTCTTTAATCCGAATTTAAATTCACTGACAGACTCAGCTTCCCTATGGGTTCTATTCAGCTTGTTCCACTCTCGTTGGGCAAATACAAACGGACACAGGCCCACATATAAAAAATCAGCAGAGTTGTAATGACTATCCAGTCAGTGACTTGATTTTACTCTTACTACAGTCAAAATTTTTTGGAGACTCGATTCAAGTCTCGACGGGTAAATGATTCGAGTCCCTACGGGGAAATTATTTGACTCGATACGAGTCACAAAAATAGTCACGCGTTGCAACTTCGTCCCAGCCTTGGTTACAAACTTCCTGTCCTCTCCCAGGAGAATTTTGGAAACTGATACCCCTTGGTGTTACATAGTGATACACGAATTTCTACGGCACCCAGCCTTTTCGAAGGAAATGTGAAGACTTGTTCACCGGCTATTTTGGTGTATCGTGGAGTACCCCAAAATCCCACATAAAAATATTCGAACATCCAACTTTCTCATCGCGAAACTCAACCAAATTATGCACTTACGTTAATTAACTGTCGATGATCGGTCGTCAATTGGACGTTTTTCTTTTTTGCAGCTTTTCCAGGGAGAATTCGGGGAAAATGTCAACAGAACATGAAGCTTTACTTTACAGATTAAATAAAAAATGAACCGGAAATTTCTTCGAAAATGAATAAATGATCGCTGTTTGTTCACGATCGATGTTGGACGTCCGATATGGGCACTAATGACAACTTTCATCAATTTTGCTATTAAAATTTTGTGATTAAGAGCGTTATAAAAATAATAAGGAGCCTGTAAAGTACTGCGCACCTTAGGCCTATATTTTGAGATTTCCGTTGGCGACGACGAGCCCGGACTTGGTAGCATTGTATTTTGTCACTTTTTCAGATATACACATAGAAAGAGAAGTTTTGTGATTATATCCAGATAAATAACTCATATTAATGCTAATTATGATTTATTTGAAAGAATAAAAATTTATGCCTCACTGTAACTTCAAATTAAAAGAAAAAAAATAAAATCTAGGAGAACGAAAAAGAGAAAGTAATAGGAAGTCAAGCTATTGCGAATAAAAGTGTTTCCCCCCCCTCAAACTGCATCACCAAACCAAGGTAAATTAATGCAAGAAGTAATTAACTGGCGTAATTTTCAGAAGTAGGGCATTTGGCTACTGATAAAATGACGTTTGCAACGTATGTGCGCAAATTATGATGACGTAAGTCTTACTACTGCCGATCCGACTCGTTTGCTGACGACATTGTTCCTGTTGCTTCAGTGACATCCGATGCTCTTCATAACATTATTCCATGTAGAATTTTAGTCAAATTTTCAACTGCTGAAAATGAAGCAATAAAATTTTTTAGTATAGGCCAATTTGAAGAATAAACTTTGGTCAAAATACGAAGTGCGCGAATTATTTCAACTCGTGGATGTGTAAAAAAATAGGGGTGTTTAAATTTCGATCAAGCAAAAATCGCATGCATAGTTTTCTTGTGCCTGTCCTTGGGACAAGTGGCAAGAGCTTAATAATTGGTGTCATTTCGCTTGATGTTTCACCATGCCATGGAGGTAGAAATAGACGAACAGTAAGTAGGCCTAATAATTACATGTGATATGCAGCGGCTCTAGAAGATTTATGTGCCATGACGTGGCACTACATCTCATTACAGGTCCCTATGCTGCTTCAAGAACATTGAATTTTTAATATGATGCCAGCATTAGGAGAATTTTCCTCGGGTGTGTATAAATTCTAAATAAAATGTAATTCTTGAGACGATGCCATTTCGCAACGAAGCCAAGGTTCGGAGGGTGCACCCTGGTAATTAGGCCAGAAATATGTCCGCCGAGC